GGAGTGGATTGATAATTATCAGAGGGAAAGAGGTGTGAGGGTGCAGGAAGAGACTAGATTAAAATCGTACACCTATGGATGAGGACAATGGCGGGGGCGGGGCGGGGGAGGTAAGGGCAGAGGGTGGGGTGGGAACCGGGTGGAAGGGAGCTATGGGGGGGGGGGGGAGAGAAACAATTGTAATAACCTGAGCAATAAAGATTTATTAAATTAAAAAATATATATATATAAGGAACAGAAGAAACTGGTGAATATAATAGAATTAGGGCTTAGAAAGGGAGTGGACTGATAATTCTCAGGGGGAAAAGGTTATGGGGGGGGGTTGCAGGAAGAGACTAGACAAAAATCGTACACCTATGGATGAGGACAATGCAGGGGAGGTAAGGACAGAGGTTGAGGTGGGAACTGGGTGGAGGGGAGCTATAGGAGGGAAAAGGAGAAACAATTGTAATAATCTTAACAATAAAGATTTATTAAATTAAAAAAAAAGAGCCCTAGCTGGTTTGGTTCAGTGGATAGAGTGTCAGCATGCAGACTGAAGGGTCCCAGGTTCGATTCCAGCCAAGGGCACATGCCTGGATTGTGGGCTCAATCCCCAGTAGGGGCATGCAGAAGGCAGCCCATCAATGATTCTCTCTCATCATTGATGTTTCTATCTCTCTATCCCCCTTCCTTCCTCTCTGAAATCAATAAAGAAATATATTTTAAATAAATTAAATAAATAAATAAATAAATAAATAAATAAATAAATAAATATAAAAGAAACCTATTTCTCTTTTAAAAAGTTTCATTCAGAAGAAACTTGATCCTTGAATGGGATGACTTTACATTTCTATTTAAATTTGTGTTAAATTCTGTTTAAATGAATTATAATATGCTATACTTTTATTTGCTTTGATTTCAAGCTGGAAATATGATATAAAATAAAAGTACATTTTTATATTAAAAATAATACTTAATCACAATAATGAATATAAACCACTTTAAAACAGGAGTTCATAAGTCCATATCAATAATAAATAAACAGGGAAGAAGGGAAGGCTCATGCTTGTAGTAGAATATCCAGATCAGTCTAATAAATGGGGAGTGAATACTAGAGTTGGAAAATCATCATAAGGATTGATTTAGGGGGGGAAATCATCAATGGATGCTAAATCTAGGGGACATTTTTTATGAAGAGCATGTTATTTGCAGGCTCTTAAGAGTGTGTCTCACAGATTGCCTATTTGTTGCAAGAGGAGAAAAAGAAACAGTAAAATTATACATTGGAGTAACCAGACAACAGCTTAACTAAGTGATCAAATTTAACATTACCAATGAGGGACAGATAGGCATTGTGTATCTCCAGATGCGATAGCCTAAGAAGGACAGAACATCACCTACACAGTACTCTAGCCAAGAATGTATAACATCAATCTAATCACATGGAAACATCGGATAAACATAAAATGAGGAATGTTCTATTTTTAAAAGGGGAAGTTGGGTGGGACTGTATTCTTCAAAAAGGGTACTGTCATAAAAAATAAAACAAAGAAAGGCTATGGGAATGTTCCAAAGTAAAAGAAGCTAGAGAAATGACAAGCAAATGACCTTAAACTGAATCCTTTACTGGAGGAGGAAAAATGTTTATAGTGTTGATCTTATAAAGTTAACTGGAAAAGTTAGAATATGGATAACAGTTTACAATATATCATAAAAATATTATATCGATGTAATTTTACAAAGTTGTTATCTCTACTGTGGTTTCTCCAAGAAAATGTACACTAAAGTACTTGGGAATAAAGGACTATGATGGGTGTAAGCAAATGCGATAAAACATTAACATAATACATGACTTTAGGTAAAGACTTTATGTGTATTCTTTGTACTTTTTTATTTTTGCAAATTTGTATATTTGAAATTATTTATAAATAAATTATTTTTAAAAGTTATACCTTTGTATCATGAGAACATAATAAGCAACTACAATCCAATAGGGAATTCTTTCTAAGGCACTCAAGTCATCCCCCTCTGCTCTTCAAAGAGCTTGGCACAGTTTTCATTTTAACTTTACTTGAAGATTTATTAATTCCTAATATATGCAATTGAGATTCAGAATTGGAAAAAAGAAAAGTACATTCTTTGAAGGAAAGAGGTGGAGACCCTAACCCCCAAGGTGAAACTCTGTACCTGCCAAATGTAAAGGTTCAAAGCACAAATATTTTCAGATCTAAGCTCAGGGAGACCTTTAACTGTTCTTCCCCACAATTCTTTCATCAAGGCATGGGAAAATAGAATTGAAAATCCTACTGACACAAAATCATTTAGGTAAACGTGGATATGGACCTATCTCCTTGTCTACGGGCTTAAGGTCAGCTCTTACATATCAGAATCCTTCCCATGCCAGAATGACAAAGGAGAGGGGGGAAAAACCCTCACAGCATATTAATCAAAATAGGTCAAAACTTTTGGCAGGCTAGGACCTCACTATTGTGAATATTAAGGAGAAAACAGATATGGATATAGGGAGCCCTATTAATGCTGATAGAAAGCAAAAAATAATCATATAAGGAACCCCAAAATTATGGAAAAGGGAGCCCTAAACCCTCAAATAAATGAGCTCAGACATCTGCAAGTGCCCAACCCTCAGCATGGCTTAAGTTCATTGTAATAATGGAAGGTTCTCTGGAAAGCACTGGTGACCAAAGTGAATCCTCAGAACTTGAATGCAAAATTAAAATGGGCTTCTGGGAATTTGAAAAGCTAGACAGAGGCAACGATGCTGCTCAGGGATGCCTCTCTAATCCCATCCCCACCCTGAATGAGGATGTGGCCTAGCAGATATTGAATTCAGTTAGAGTATCAGGAGAGTTCTGGATATCTGCATGTACTTACTATTAGTTTATTTGTGTTTTTTCTTTATAAATAGCCATATAAACTTAATGAGAAAGGACTGAGACATAGGAAGTTTCTCACATATTGTGAGACCTTTCCCATCACAGACTCTGCAGGCCAAGGGAAGCTACACCAACATGGGCTGCGCCTGCTCCTGATGTGTGTGACTTAATTCAGCCAAGTTTCTAGATCCATGGTTAAATAACTCAGGAAACAAACCTAACCCCACAGATCTACCCTGTTTCCCCAAAAATAAGACAGTGTCTTATATTAATTTTTGCTCCCAAAGATGCACTAGGTCTTATTTTCAGGGGATGTCTTATTTTTCCATGAAAAAGAATACGGCACACATTTATTGTTAAATGAAAATAAAGGAAATTTATTACCTGTATACGGTATGGTAGTACGGTAGTTGTCAACACAAACCAGACAAACTGTGAATCCTATAGTATCAAGAATTTACTCATTTATTCAATGACAATCATGTCATCATCTTCTGGAACATCATCAGAACAATCCAATTCCTGAATTTCCTGGTGAATTTCTTGTGACTCCATTTCTTTCAGAACCAGTGGACCAAATCTCTCATGTTTAGCCTAGGGGGGTGGGAGGGCTTATTTTCGGGGGATGCCTTATATTTCACTCAGAAGGAAACCTGTAAGTAGGTCTTATTTTCAGAGGATGTCTTATTTTTGGGGAAACACGGTATATGGAAGGGGTCTCTTTCAACCTTTATATAATAAATCTGAAATTAGGCAGAAAGCTATAACCTAATCATATATGTTGTCATCTCTATGGGGAAGAGACTATATTAGCACAAAGATGGTCACATAGCATCTAAAGAGCAGAGATCCAAAGGGGTGAACTTTATCAATGCTTATTCAATCCTGACCAAGAGGATAAATATTATCTGGTAGAGACAAGTATTCAGGTAGCCACAGAAGGGTACTTTATTATAAATGGCAGAAACAGTTCACCAGGTTCTCTGTATCATAGCTGAAACAGACTTCAAAACAAACATTGGACAAGTCCTCATTTGTAAAGTGGAGATAATGATAGCATCTACCTCAAAGGCTTATATGAGGATCAAGTTGACACAGAAAAAGTGCTTAGAATAGTGTCTGGCAGATGGTAAGCACTCAGTAGGCATCAGTCACTATTATCTAAGGCCAAAGATTACCTTTAGCCCAATTCTATAATCAATAACATTCCATTTATTCTGGGTTTTGCTGGTACTTACATAATACCAGAAGGGAGTAACTTGGAAGTGAACTCAAGAATTCTAGTTAATACTGAAACTGGTTTGGCTCAGTGGATAGAGCGTCAGTCTGTGGACTGAAAGGTCCCAGGTTCAATTCCAGTCAAAGGCATGGCTGTGGGTGTGTAGGAGGTGTGTAGGAGGTAGGGGGTATGTGAGGTAGGGGGTGTATAGGAGGCAGCTGGTCGATGTTTCTCTCTCATTTGACATTTCTAGCTCTTTATCCCTCTCCCTTCCTCTCTGGAAAATCAATAAAATATAAAAAAAAGAATTCTAGTCAAAATTGAGTTCCAAGAGCTCCATACTTGAAGATCAGATATGGAGCTGTGGTGCCCAATGGTTCTATACATCAGGGAGCTTTTTTTATATTGTCACTATGACTGGGATGCTACTGGAACTTAAAGCCTGGAGTCCAGGGATGTTGCCTGAGGTCATTCCTATACAACAACAACAAAAATGTCCTGCCCCAAATGCCTATAGTGCTTAAGTTGATAAACATTGCCCTAGACCAGTGATCTGCAAACTCATTAGTTAACAGAGCGGCAAACCGCGGCTTGTGCTGAGGCAACCTGTTGACCAACTTATGGGCTTTATATAAATGTAAGATGCCACAGTTCTCATATTTATCTCCGACTTCTTATCTAATAATCACTCTACTAATTCAAGAGAACTCCACCAATTAATCCAGATGCATGTGCCAGCAGAGGAGCCCCCTCCAGTTTCAAAACTGGGTCATTGGTTCGAAATAAAATCAGCTCTCTACATTCCAAAAAGGGTCAGAGTCTGGTAAACTGGAAAGGTCCCTCAAGGAAGAAGTTGTCTAAAGCTTATGCAACATCACAGCAGAGGATTGGACTAGCATACTCACATTGGTGAGATCGTCGAAAGCTGATCTCATTTTGAGCAGTCCCTGAGGTGAAGATGGAGATATTACTGCTTGGTACTCTTCCTCACTCTAAAAAAGTAAAAAAGATAAATGAGTATACCCAACTGTGAACAGTCTTTTTCAGGGTCATCTCTGGGGCTCAGAAGGAAACTCCAGAATCTCCAAGCAACTGCATATGCATAATATAAACCCCAATAAACTACAACACAAGGACATTTTGACATTTACTGCTGCTTAGAGAATCATTGAAAAAGGTAATCATTGATGATAGGGGCAAGGCTGTGATGAAATAAGATGACCATCAGTGTTACTCTTAGAGTTAGGTGGATGAATGGATAACGAAAGAAGAGCCTCACATATGCTGTCTACAAGAGATTAACTTCAACCCTGGCCAGTGTTGGTCAGTGGTTATAGAGTGTCAGTCCATCCATCAAAGGGTCCCATATTCAATTCCTGATCAAGGGCATGTACCTGAGTTGCAGGTTCAATCCTGGCCCAAGTTGCATTTGGAAAAATAACTACAACAAAAGAAAACTTACAATGGCAAAATCTAATCAGAAAATCCAATATAGACAAAAACTGATACATGTAGCAAATATTTCTTGCCAATTTATACAGGGAAAAATATTTGTCCCCTACATGAAAATCATTTTATTAAAATGAAAATGATTAGAAAATGTATATCTGTACTAAAAGGAAAGAAATCAAGGAAAACAAATTGGCCTAATGATGTTTGTTTTAGAAAATACTCTCTTAATGACAATTCATTAGTATTAGTAAAATTCTTATTAAAGTATGTATGATGGCCCTAGCTGGTTTGGCTCACTGCCCTAGCTGGTTTGGCTCACTGGATAGAGCATTGGCCTGCGGACTGAAGGGTCCCAGGTTCGATTCCAGTCAAGGGCATGTACCCTGGTTGCAGGCACATCCCCAGTAGGAGATGTGCAGGAGGCAACTGATCGATGCTTCTCTCTCATCAATGTTTCTAACTTTCTATCCCTCTCTCTTCCTCTCTGTAAAAGATCAATAAAATATATTTTAAAAAAATAAAATATGTATGATGATAAATGAACACAAAACAACTCAGGACTGGAATGACTATGTCAAACTACCCCCAAGATCAAAACAGCAGAATCAAAATGGACCCATTCTTCTAATTAAATAGCTATAAAAAGCATGGTAATACATTTGTTGTATTATCTTCATAATCTCCCCAGGATTTACCAAGCAACCTCCTGGAAAGATGCTTCGAGCATCTTAGGCAAAGTAGGAATATGGATATGATCATTAACAAGAGGTGGCCAACAGGCCCGGAGCAGCAGTAGCCAGGCCCGGAGTGGCTGGGCCCAGAGCAACGGGGCCCAGAGCGGCCGGGTCGGGTGCGGTCAGGCCCGGAGCAGCAGCAGCCACGCCCGGAGCAGCCAGGTCGGGAGCGGCAGTGGCCAGACCCAGAGCAGCTGGTTGTGGAATGGACCAGAGCAACAGAGGCCAGGTCCGGAGCAGCCAGGCCCGGAACAGCTCACTCCTCGCCTGCCTCTGCCCCAAGGCTGCCTCTCAGACATGGCTGGAAACTTTTGGGGGAACTTGAGGGTCTGCTGAATCAAAAGAGGAAGGCTTAGATCTGGATGTGTTGAATCAATATAGCGCTGGGGTATTGATCTGTGAGTGCCTTGTGTGGGGCCTGGATGAGGTTGGTTGATCTATTTGGAAATGTCTTTTGTGTGAAGTGTATCCTTGGACATGTGGAGGTATTATTGATTTGAGAAAATGCTAAGTAACTGATTTACTATCTGAAAAATTTAAAGTTCTGAAAGTTTAAGGTCTCTTGCCAAAAAGAGGTTTTAAAGCTAACACCTTAATTTTAATGGAGAAAGGGAATGACAAGCCCTTCCCACCCAGAACAGGTAATCCAATTCCAATCAGCAGCTATGTTTAAAAAATGTGTCCATTTACACTTGAATGGCTACACCTTTTGATAGCCTAAGGGCAAGTTTACATGTAAACAAGTTTGCTCTCAATTCCCAGGGCAGAAAAAAAACAAGGTTTAAAAATTATTAGATTTTAAAATTTATTCTTAGAAGTGTAAAAGTTTATTAATTAAAAAAAAAAAACAAAAAAAAAGGAGATTTAAAAACCTGATAAACAATAATAGCGGTTCATTGTAGTAGAGTTGGCGATATGGGAGGGGAGTGGACTGACTGTTCTGGGGTGGGGGGGGGAGGAAAAGACTGAACATAAACTGTGCACCTATGGATGAGGACAATGGGGGGTGGGGAGGGGGTGGAGGGTGGGGTGGGAACCTGGTGGAAGGGGGAAGAAATGAGGAACCTTTGTAATAATATGAACAATAAAGATTGATTTAAAAAAATAATTAAAAAAAATAAAAACCAAGGGAATTAAAAAATCTGAAGAAAAAAAAAAAGAAAACAAGAGGTGGCCGAAACTAGTTTACTAGTTTGGCTCTGTGGATAGAGCGTCCACCTGCGGACTGAAAGGTCCCGGGTTCGATTCCAGTCAAGGGCATGTACCTTGGTTGCGGGCACATCCCTAGTGGGTGTGCACGAGGCAGCTGATCAATGATTCTCTCTCATCGATGTTTCTAACTATCCCTCTCTCTTCCTCTCTGTGTATATATATATATATATAAAAAGAAATTGGATACCAAGCCTACCTAATTAAAAAAAAGAGAGAGAGAGATGAATATTGTTTGCTTTGGAAGATTATGGAGGGTGCCCTGCACTTCAGCCATGCATTTATTGGAAAGAAAAGTTCATATTTTCTCCCCAAGTTCTAATTTGCTGATCTCCAACCACAGAGGCTCTTATATTCCTTGCCCTCCTTCTTAAATAAAACCACACATAATCGGCAAGATTTAGGGGCGAGGATAGGGACTAAGCCAACATAGGAAGAGGCTGCTTGAGACACAGGAGAGACAGCTTGCTCTGACCTTTTCAGATTCGTCATCATCACGGGGCACAATTTTGTTGGACTGCAACTTCTTAGTCTCATGTTCGTCGCTTCCAAGTGGTGGTGTCATCTCTTACTGATTCAGCAGGGTTTATCCAAGGCAGGGCTGCAATCAGAAAGGGTCTCTTTAAAATACTATTCACCAGAAACATCATAGAATTATCTGGAGACTTTTGAGGAAACCCAGTCTCTCTAAAGCATCCCTAGGAGGAAACAGACTTTGAGTTAGGCAGATCTTGGTTCTACCACTGTTAACCTTGGGTAAGTGACTGAAACTCCCTGGGATCCAGATATCTCATCTATAAAATGGAGATAAGTATACCTACTTTGCCAGGACACTGTTCAAATTAAATTAGATACCCTATGTAAAAAGCCCAGCATAATGCCCGCCATCCTCTGTGGGTACTGAAATTATGGCCTAGCTCCACGTTTAGATCTGGGAACACTGGGAACAACTTATGTCATTTACGTTGAAGACAATAAAAAAAATGTGACAGGTTATGGAGGCTAGTTAGTAAGTATATTTCCAGTGGGACATGATCTCACTCATCTAGGGGAAATGGTGAACAACATAGACTGATGAACAAGAGATAAGGAACCATGGGTCAGACTGTTGGACCTCAGAGGGAAGGTGGAGATAAAAGGGAGAGATCAGCCAAAGGACTTAGGTGCACACATATGAGCCTAACCAGTGGTCAAGGACAATGGGGGGGGAGGGTATTGTAACAGGGGGTTGAGGACAAATATGTGATACCTTAATCAATAAAGAAATTAATTTTTTTTAAAAAGGCATGGGATCCTGGCCATGGAAATTATGTTATAAAGACAACACACGAATGCACTGCACACACACATATGCACAATAGGCCAGAGAGTACTCAAAGGTTGCATTCAAGCAGAAGAAATTGTAATACAGTCCTAGACACCTGATAGGAACATTTTTTTAAAATGAGCTACTAGCAAAAGAAAGTAACATATTGGAAAATCAGCCGAAACCGGTTTGGCTCAGTGGATAGAGCATTGGTCTGTGAACTGAAAGGTCCCGGGTTCGATTCCGGTCAAGGGCATGTACAATGGTTGCGGGCACATCCCCGGTGGGGGGTGTGCAAGAGGTAGCTGGTCGATGTCTCTCATCGACGTTTCTAGCTCTCTAACCCTCTTCCTTCCTCTCTGTAGAAAAATCAATAAAAAAATATTTTTAAAAAAACATATTGGAAAATCATTTGACATAACAATTTAACAGTCATTATAACTCTTGGAAGAATCCTACCTTCACCTCATCTCAGTATGGAACCCCATTCTATATTTCTTTTATTTATTTATTTATTTATTTATTTGTTTGTTTGTTTGTTTGTTTTATTAAATTATTATCTGTGTACATATTTCTTTTTAAATTTTTTCTATTGTTGAAAGCATTACATAGGCCTTCCTTTCCCCTCCATTAACCCCTTCCAGCCTGTTCCCATCCCCCTTCCTCTCCACAGGCCATTCTATATTTCTTAAAGTTCTTATAGTTTGTGAGTCCTCAACTTATGTGTCTTACAAGCAAATACATTATTAGGGGGAATTATTTTTTGGATACACAAGAGACCCTTCCCACTCAGATAAAACTGACCTTTCAACCCCACTCATATTCAATTTTTTCAAGTTCAACTGCATTTGACAAACAACAGGCTTCCCTAAGAAAGACACTAAAGGGAATATAACAAAGTTCCCACTACATACCAGATACTTCAGTCAATAGAGTTACAAACACAAATAAAATACAGATCTTATCCTAGAAGTATTCACATGCATAGCTCTAACAGTAACATAAAAATGTGACAAATGGGAGAGCAGTGGGTGGGGGTGAAGGGGTTGAAAGAGGCTAGGAGGGAGATGTGTCCTGACTCTGCCACCTTCTCCACCTCCTGCAGCCAACTCCCCTCCCTGTGGCTGCCAGGGCACACTTCCAGGTCTCCGGCACCCATCAAAGTCAATGGATTCTGACCCCTGACCCCTCCAAACAAATGGGCAGCCAGCCCCCACACTCTAAAATAACCGGCTCTCCCCTTACCTAGTAATACAGAGCCCCGTGTGGTTGACCCCCTGCAATAGGCCTAAGCTGGGATGCAGCCTATCCATCGGCCTATGCCCCAGTGTTTCCCCGAAAATAAGACCTACTTAGGTTTCCTTCTGAGTGAAATATAAGATATCCCCCGAAAATAAGGCCCCCCTAGGCTACACATGAGAGATTTGGTCCACTGATTCTGAAAGAAATGGAGTCACAAGAAATTCACCAGGAAATTCAGGAATTGGATTGTTCTGATGATGTTCCAGAAGATGATGACATGATTGTCATTGAATAAATGAGTAAATTCTTGATACTGTAGGATTCACAGTTTGTCTGGTTTGTGTTGACAACTACCATACTACCATACCGTATACAGGTAATAAATTTCCTTTATTTTCATTTAACAATAAATGTGTACCGTATTCTTCTTCATGGAAAAATAAGACATCCCCTGAAAATAAGACCTAGCACATCTTTGGGAGCAAAAATTAATATAAGACACTGTCTTATTTTCAGAGAAACGGGGTAGCTTTTCTCCAGGTAGTCTGAATTCAAAATACATATAAAGAATGTGCTGGAGCCGAAACCGGTTTGGCTCAGTGGATAGAGCGTTGGCCTGTGGACTGAAAGGTCCTGGGTTCGATTCCAGTCAAGGGCATGTACCTTGGTTGCGGGCACATCCCCAGTAGGGATTGTGCAAGAGGCAGCTGATCGATGTTTCTAACTATCTCTCTCTGTAAAACCTCAATAATATATATATTTTTTTTTTTTTAAAAAGACAGTATACAGGAAACAGTGGCAAGCTCATTTTATATATAAAGGCAGGTTACAGACAGCAAGACGTTGGGGAGAGTAATGGGCATGGTGTCTGTCAGTGAAAGCAGCACTGGGAGGGAAAGTATGCCTAGGGTCTAGTTCTAACACTGCAGGTAGCTGGCTGACAATAGGCAAGTCCCTTTTCCCTCTGTAGGATTCATTTCTCCACCTAATAAAATGAGGCAACGGGACCAAAGCCTCATGTTATTCCAACAGTGGTAAATGGACCAGCATCATTAACAACACGTGGGAACTTTTAGCAATTTAAAATCTCAGGCCCCAAACTAGGCCTTACTAAACAGGCACAGGCAAGTTAACAATATTCCCCGGTGATTCGTATGCACTTTATTTTGTTTTAATTTCTTTATTGATTAAAGTATTACATATGTATCCTCATCCCCCCATTAACCCTCCCCCCCCACTCATGCCCTCACCCCCATGTTGTCTGTGTCCATTGATTAGACTTATATACATGCATATAAGTCCTTTGGCTGATCTCTCCCCCTTACCCCCAATCATCCCTACCTTCCCTCTGAGGTTTGACAGTCTGATGGATGCGTCTCTGGTGGATGCTTCTCTGTCTCTGGCACTTTAAAGCTTAAGAAGCACGGTTCTAAGGCACCTCTGACATCTGGCCTTCCAGGAATCTAATCACATAGCAGAGCAGTGGGCAAGCCAGAGTTGAAGGGTTGGAGGCAGAAATAGAAGAATGGAGATGTTAGAAGTTTAACAAGGGGGAAAGGACACGTTTCCATTAACCTGTAGTTCAAAACACACATCCCTCAAATAGCATTCTCGGACTTAAATGAGTCATCTTGTGGCCGAAATTGATCCTGCATACTTTCACTTGTGAAAAGCCCTTTTATAAATGTATTCTGATTCAGGCATGTGTACTGGATGCTCCACCTAGTCCCGTTTACTTCATCATTTCAACCTCTAATACACACTCCCTGTCCAACCTCGTATGGGGCTCACTTCGCAGACAGCTGACTGGCAGAACAAATGAAAGGTTTCCTGACAGGGACGCCGAGCACCCTGGCAAGAGAAGACAGCCTGTAACAAGGGGCACTCCATGGCCAATACAGGACATCAGAACAGGCAGTACAAAACCAAAGGCTCCTACCTCACATAGAAATTGGGGCATAACAGGAAAGACATGGACACACTCCTAGACCAGGAGCAGCCTCGATAAATGAATGGAGCACCAAGTCCTAGAGACCGGTGTGGATCTCAGCCGGGCCTGCGTTTTCCCCCCAATCCATCTGCCAGGAGTGAATTTTTAAAATTATAGTCCTAGAGAGACTGCAGTGGTGACTGGCCAACAAGGACCAAACTGCGTGCGGAGTTGCGATGTGGGCTCACCCAGCAAGGAGGGACAGGGATGGGGGAGTAATTGAACTCCGCGTCAAATTGGCTACCTTGTGGCTTGGTTCCCTGTACAATTGGTAGGAATAGCTGGTTTGACAGCAGGAGTACTGCTTCTCTTTAAAGAGGCTTTTCCTTTAAATAGCCCTGCTGGAGGAAGGGGAGAGCGGCTGGACAATTTAGGTTCAGACCAGTTAAGAACTTTTTGTAGAATCAATCATTAACTCCTGCTGGCTTCACAAGTCGCCTTGTTATGTGAAGCAGGGTAGAAATTATTGCCCCTGTTTTCTGGGTAAGTCCTCAAAGTGCAGAGAGCTACTACTTCAGGTGCCATAAGTGCCAAAACAAGGTGAAAATACAACTTCTAAAGATTTCAGAGGCTTATATAAGCCTAACCAAGGGACACAGACAACAGGGAGGTGAGGGCATGAATAGGGGGACGGAGGAGGCAAAGGGGAAATAAGGACACATATGTAACACCTTAATCAATAAAGAAATTTTTAAAAAAGATTTCAGAGAACACATGTTGTTCAGCATGAATATTGCCAACCCAGTCACTGCTGTCATACACCAGCATCACCAATAGTGATTACTGAGTGTCTTAGGTACACGTGCCACTGTTAGGGTCTATACAGAGAGTTAGACAAACACTTCTTCCTTTGAACCTCACATACCTTTATGATGGGTCAATTCAGGAAATATTACATTAATATTATCTGTATATTATCTGTATTATAAATAAATATAATATTAAGTATGAAGTCAATAAATATAACAGACATAAAAATGCATTTAGAATGAAGAGTGATTATATGAGGGGGGGAGGGCATCACCAA